GTTGCGCTTGTTACGCCACCGATGTTGCTGGTCTTTCCGATTACGTGATGTAAGCAATTTTTTATTTAATCTCTTTTCATTCAATATACACCATTTTCTTCTTATCTGAATAAACAAGATAATTCTTCTCACTGTTTATTGTTGTTTGCCAAATTGATCATTCAACGTTCTATTAGAAAACCAAATTATTTTTCTTATGATTTCATGTCACTGGTATCTTTTACTTTGTTAAAAGAGTTCTCGTTACAATACTAGGAACCAAAAAATGATAATGAAGCTATCCCTTAGAAGACATTCCCCAAGGCATAATTAGTGGACGTTGATGGTTCAGGCACATTATTCGGTGATTAGTACACGCCTATTCGGCAAGTTTCTGTCGTGTAAGCAGCTCCTTTTCCATATTGACGATCCTTTTCTAATCTCATACAAAAACAGGTTCTCATACAAATTACGGTTAAAAACAACTTTGGTCCTTTCGATAATGATTCCTATTCTTTCATGTACGAAATATGAAGACCGATAAGTATGATGGGTGTCATCAGCTTTGTTACCTGATCTCTTCGTTGAATTTTCGTCACGTTATATCCGCTCTTTTATAGTGGCAAAGAAGAGGGGGCGTACAGCAAGAACCGAAAACATGATTAAAGATTCTCCGATGTGGGAGAAAATGGATTTCTGATACGCGTAATGCCACCCTATTTGGAACTATTACGCGTGAGTCCCCAAGTAAGCCCCCTATATCCATTCAGCCCCTGCTGGAAATATATTTACTAGATCAGAAGGTACTTACTTGCGACTTGGCACCCACGAATGCCGTACCGGGTGGCATGTAAACAAGAAGAAGAGAGAATTTGTAATTTGTTTTTTTCTTACAGTACTCGTATTAATTTCACACATATTTTACGTAAACATATATATATATATACACGAATTTGTTAATAATTAATATAATATATATGTGTTTGTGTGTGGCAAGAAACTATACCTATAAATCACGTCCGCCGTGCAAAGCGTAAAAATTATTTTCGGTCGTTGTCGACGGTTTTCGCGGAGAAAAGAACATCGGCGTTACGGTACGGCGAGAAAAATCGCTAATTGGTACACGGAAAATATAAACAAAACTGCCGTGCGAGTACCGATGATTTACTGCAAGGTTTGATTGAATTCATTCGACTCTGTTTACCCGCTTGCTGCTCGTACAATTCTCGCCCTTCGCGGGCCTCCGATGTTTAGCCTTTTTTTTTTTCATTTATACCGTTGATTTTTTTCCTCACTCGCTCGTTCATCCGCTCCGACGTTGCAAAGTTGCTCGCTGTAAAACTGGGAACAGCGAACGATACGCGAACGTTTCCTGCTACAAGCCACCACTCTCCCCTGTCATCCCGTTGCAACCTCCAATCCTCACTTTGCCGCCTACTGCTTCGTTTTATTCTATTTGATCCGAGGGAATGGAAAGGTATGCGAACTCCGGAGGGTAGACTGGGTATGATTTCGCAATCGAACCCCTGTATACTTTCCTCCGTGTCAATTCGTTAGCGAATGCGAACAGTCGAAAGACTTTAAATAAACTGCTTTTAAATGACTTCAACTAAAAATTTCCACCGATGTTGTTCGATTACAATAAAATAGAGAGACAACGATTTCTTCCTCCGTAGAAATAACATTCTTAATAGATATTATTTATCTGTTATAACACATAATTTTAACTACATTTGAAAGTAAAACTTAGTAAATTATCGATAAAATTTGTTAACTCATATAATATTAATTCAAGCCTGAAAAATAAAATACATTTGTTTTATACGATATTACAATAACTAATAAATTAAATTACATAGGAATAATTTACAATAGCCAAACTATTTATATTTGCGTCGATCGCGCAGCCATCATATTTTTATTATCACAAACTAATATACGCACAAGTATTTCACACAATTGGAACAATGCATTAATATTTCAACGGTGTAAAGTGTATCTATGTGTCTATTGGTTGGCCTGAGCGGCGATTCGGAATAGATTTTTCCGAAGAGGCTGACACGAGCTCGCGAAGGCCGCCAACGGAAGAGAAAAATCTAATAGACTATCGGAATCGAATTTGATCCCCTGTAAGAAACTAGCCCTTCTTCTTGCACGCGTTCGCGTTACGACACCATCGATACTGCCGCCCCATCGAGCCCGGAATGAAATCCAGTTCGCATTTGAATCAGTCGGTAACGCAATCCATTAGCCCCTAACAGCCAATACTTGGAGAACGCGCGGAAGGAAACGATCTCGTGTAAGGGAAAAAGAAAGAGGAATAAAGTGGCACGGCGATGGCGCGACGGGAGCGTCGTAAATGATTAGTGTTGCCGATGAACGAATCCCATAAAAAAGAAGCGAAGATCTATAGCTCACCTATCTTTCCTTTGCCGATCCCGGCTAGCGCGCCCTTCCTCCCTCTTCATAGAACTCTCCCGCGTAAGTAGGGTCATTTTGTTAGCGTCAAATTTTGAAAGCGGATCGCCCGATTTCTTTGCTGGAAGTGGCGGGCGCGAAACGTTGATCGGAATATTTCAATTACCTCGGGCGTTTTTTCTTTTTATTCAGATGCACAATTTTTATGGTCGGAACTTTTTCAAAACGCTTCCTCCTTTTCTCTTTTAATTTTTCACGACTTTGTATTTGATTAGTGACTATGTAAAACGCTTTAAAATTTGTAAGGTAGATTCGGAGACATAATTCCTTGTCGTCAAATGTTTTTTAAGTATTCCCTCCCTTTCTTCTCTTTCAATTTCACTTCTCCATGGCTTGTGTTTGATTAGTAGGTAACGCAATACACTTTGACACTTACAATTTACATGTTTAAATAATTTAAAAATATATATCTATATATTAAACGGTCAGAGTAAACGGGATACAAATGTATTGTGCTGTTGGCGCATTTTATTAAATAACGGTGACACACGATTTCAATATAGATACAAAGTGAAACGTTCTCGATTCGAGGGCGGTTACTGACTCGTTTCCGTTGTCGTCGGCATCGTTAAAGGAGCGTCTTCGCGCCGTTCTCGCAATATCGTAGGTGCAAGTACGGTCGATGGTATTCCTATCTGTAAACGACTAGAGGTAGCGTTGTCGAGCGACGCCTCAGGCGCGACGAAGATATCGTGTTTAGAGCAAGATCCACGGCCGCGATAAGCCAAAGTACAATGCTTTGAATACCCATCCAGCATCGCGATAACATCTTAACGTTCTCTAAGAGTAAACGAAATTAAATTCGCGCGAGCGCGCGACATTAGACTGAACTCTCTCTCTCTTTCTCTCTCTCTCTCTCAGATACCTAGGTATCTAAGTTTCACGACTGGATGCGAAAACGCGTGTAACGCGAGATCGATAGAGTCCTTTTCCTTTCTCTTTCCGTATCGCCAAATTTTCCACCCTCCCGTACGTCGTCTCGCCCTTCGTCCTTCGCTTCACTCAGTCGAACTCTTTTACGCCCCCGCGATAAGTTCGTTTTTGTCTTTCGCTTTCGAGCTTTATGTATTTTTAAGAAATAGATTAGATGCTTTCGGTCACCATCGTGGATAACAACACAAATTTTGAACAGTCGCAATTTTCTATTTAACTACGCGTGATTAAAATCTTCTTGGATGTTTTTCAAAGAAGACATGTGAGACAGCTTGTACCTTCTTTTACAGTTCAGCCATGCACCAGGAATTCGACATGAAAATTACATTACTACTAGATAGAGAATAATGAAATCTGTTTAATGGATCAAGAAGTATCATTCTTTCCGCAATTTTGGCAATCCCTGCATGAGAGACGAAAGTAGAAGTGCAGACAAAAAGACGTTATTTGAAGGTATGCGTTTGATTTTTCCATGAAGCCAGTACCCATGGACGCACTTTTCGGGGAGAATGACAATGGCGTCCCATGGGACAAAAGCCTACCCGCTAGAAAACTACCCCTCCTTCTTGCCAGCTTCGTCGTCGGCGTCGTCTCGGCCCTTCTGATTGTTTCCTACGCGTTTCCTCCGCTTTCTCGAACCTACTCGGTCTGGCATTCAACTACCTGATCTCTAAACTCTGCTCGTGCCTCAGTCAACTTCTTCCATCTCTGTAGGCACAAACCAATAGGGGAGATGCGTCTCAAAAAAAAAAAAAATTTCTGAAATTCAATATCCTCGGCGTTTTGCATAATTTATGAAAATTGAGCCGGCGGCTTTTCGGTAGAATTCTTGCGTGTATTTTATGTTCAAAATCCTATCTTACATGACTTCTGCGTAATAAAGCACTTAGCAGTAATTAATATGTCATTATCTTTGATGTGTGTTTTATCACATGCCTTCCCAAACAACACATGTTTAAACAACATATGTCTAAAAGGCATCTTTAAGACATCTTTAACTCATCTTTTAGATATGTACGTCTAAAAGACGACCTAAAGACGTCTTAAAGAGATGCCTTTTAGACACGCGTGCTATATCAATTCTGTTTATTAATATTACTACATTATTGTAATTAATAATAAAGAATATATTAAGCATAAATAGAAATTTCTGTCAGTAATTGTATGTACTCCAACTGACACATTACATTAAAATATTATTTTGTACTTAATATTTTTAAGAACACTATCTTTATACGCGATCTTTTTTATATCATATTCTGGGTATATTTATAGAAATAATTATAAAATAAGAAAGAAAATTTATATCTTTCCATTATAAAAATGTATTACGGGAATGTCCTTTGACATTGTGGCAGGACAATGAGGTAGCCGCATATTTCGTGCAGTACACAATGCCGCACGGGCCTAAAGGTCGAAAAGCACGTAGTCGGGAGTTTAATCTAGAGAAATGCTGAATAATAGAGGAGAGTGGAACGGGGTTCGCGATTGGCTTATACAATATTCAGCCTTGCTTTCCGGCCAAGTTCGCGTTCTAATTAAGTTCCCGGCGTTGAAGAGCGTTAAGCACCTTGTCAACCGTTTAACTCTGGTCCCTTCTGTACTTGCAGATTCTTCCTCAAGTTCTTTCTCAAGTGTAACCAAAACTGCCTCAAGAACGCCGGCAATCCACGTGACATGAGACGCTTTCAGGTAAGTCGTCTGTGCGCTCGCTGTCTATCTACCTTAAATATAAATGCACGATTCATGTTTAATGAATTCGATTTTGTCTTTATGCATTAAGAATGTCCATCAAATTTTTACGAGTTAAACTATTTATCAGAGAGACGGATATGCTTACATTATACTCAGGATTAATGGATTCGTCCACAGAGACGAAAACAATCTCATATTCGTAATATAATTTATCTGATGATTCATATAGCGCGATTTACGACCCTGCTTGAGATACGGTTAATCGCTTCCGGCTTTCCACCCACTTGATTCAAAGACGTTCCAGGTCGTGTCGCAATGCTGAAATGCACACCGCGCGAGACACTTCCGTCATTCGAGTCACGATTCGCGAAATTATAGGGGCGGACAGACGGAGACGAGAACGCCGAAATTTCGCCGCAACATCGTGCGACGCCTATCGTCGCAGAGAGCATCCTTCTTCGCGTAAAATTTCCGCGTATTTATGGAACTCCACTATTGCATACATGCATTACATACTTGTATGCGTACACGTGCGTCTGATTAAAAATCAATCCATTCATTTCTATAGACAAATCAAGACGATGGTTCTGATTAACAACTTCTCGACGGTAGGCCGAAGTTTCCATCAACCAGACATAATTATTACACGATTTAAACTGACAAGGCGGTTTCTTTAAGTTATTCCGACGTTTCGATCACACAGAGAGAATTTTCTTTTACTAGTAAAATATATACTAAGTATAATTACTAGTAAAAAATATGGTAAAATTTTAAAAAAACTCTCACAGAATTCCTCGAACTGCCGTGTTATTCCACAATTTTCAGGGTGAACTTTAAGAGAAAATTTCGTGTACAATTTTTGGAGAAACAATTACAACTTTAAATAATAATTCAAAATTCCCCACAATTAACTCTCAGAGCAACCTAATCCCCCGACTCGCTCTCATATTCGTCCGCCCCTTCGCAACAGCGCCACACTCTCGCTTATCGAAAATCGTACACCACCTATCCCTCTTCCCGCTCTCCCGTCAAAACGAAATTAAAAAATAAATTATCAAAACGTCGTGAGAGACCCCAACGGTCGGTCCTTTGCGTGACTCGTCTCTTTCCTTTTGTATTATTCGACCCTCTTACTTACTTTTCTTCTTTTCGTGCGTCGGCACAACGACAAACTGAAATTAGAATACTCATCGTACTTTCGAATTTGTTTCTGAATTGCTTACTGCCGAAAGTTGCGAATTAAAATTTTAGTGCAGTCTTCACGAAAATCTCTCCCGCCGCGGGGGCAGCGGAGCGTGGGTTATCGTCGCTTTACTCTAAGTTGGCGGTGGTGTTACTCGCCGAGTAATATCACCAGCACGCGAGAAAGTTGCGAAGTTGCGAAGGACAAAACTTTCGGGCATTTTCCAGCCGCTCGCACGATTTTATAAGCGTTCTTTCTCCCTGCTTCGCCGCGAAAATCTTTTCGACGCCTCGATGCACGCGCGCGGTGAACGGCGTAAAATACGTAAGCGAGTAATTTTGTCCAGCTTATTCAGAGATCTCGTAAATAATTTATTACGCTGTGTTTTATGTTAATTATGAGGAAGGATAATCGTATCTTAATACGCGACTATATTCCCGTACTTGCGCGATTATATCGGCGTCATACGTCGTACGTGCAAGTCGCGAATTGCATGCCGTAGTATCCGGTGCAGCAAATCGAGTTGTGCATGCTCATTCACGGAAGATATGATGAACTTGGCTCGGTATATCACGTGCATGAGAGAAATGCAATATTATTCACGATAGCGTCTATTGCGCGGCGCATTTTTCCACGCCCCAAGTCAGACATAAACAGATACAAGCGTAAATTTCACGGAGGTGCATAACGTTCCAATTTAGTAATTTCTTTTTCGAACGTTTGTGTTAAATCACACCGCGTGTTTCTCAAAAAGTCTCATGTGCTCTGCCGAGCCTATCGTTTAATAACTTTCATGAAAGTGTACTCAAATGTGAGAACTAAAATTTTATCAACATATAAATGTGTGTAACAGAGAATAAAAGGGGATGCTGGAGTGGTTTCATCTACCGACAGAGTCGCATACAGTTTTTGCGTTTGTAAATCTTATTATTGGCTTTTTTTTCATATAAAAAACATTGAAGTTTGAAGTCTAATTCGTATCGCATTATGTCTTTGAAATTTTCAAACTATTCCGGTCGGAATTCAGCCGCCACTCCAGCATCCCCTCGAAAATATCATCATTAGATTGTTTATTGCGACAAATATTACCACGTGCTTCAGTGGTCGAATTGGTGAGACGCCCGCCTAAAGTGTAGGGAGGTCCAGGTTCAAATCCTGAGGTGATATTTTTCGCAATAAAATTCTTCAAATAGAATTTGCCAGTTGTGTCGACTATTAATTTGCTACATTGGATAATTTTATTATTAGTTTATTACGTATTACATCTCTACGTTAATTGTCTTATATCTTACATGTCGGCAAATGTCCGTTTTGTTTAACAGGTGGTCATATCTACGCAAGTGGGAGTGGAAGGACCATTACTAGCGGTTTCGGACAATATGTTCGTCCACAACAACAGCAAGCACGGGCGCAGAGCGAAACGTTTGGACCCCAGTGATCCTGGCGAGTATAACAGTAAGTATGATCCATAAATAGTATCAATTAACCAGTATCGTTAAAGAGATAATTTATGCTGTAGAGAGCATCGATATCGTCTGCATATTTAATGCGGGAAACTGCACGAGCATTTACACGATAATTCGATTTGCCCGTAAACACCAATTGGGCCGCCGTACAGTTTTTCGTTATTTAATTTTGCAGTCAGCTGCTACATTCCCCGACAGTAATTGCAGGCAGCCTTCGCCGTGCTAACAAAGCACTCGCAGAAAATATGATAATTAATTAACGGACGATAATTAAAAAGCCCGGTGCGCGCATTAAACGCCCTCATTTATTCAACGGATCGATTTTTCACGGATGATATGATTCACGCGCGTAAGCGCTTTCAACGCTTGTCGATCAAAATCGACTTCTGCCGGGGCGATTGACGTTCGGGAGGGGCATCGCCATTCGAATGCTCGCGGCGTGTTGTTTCTCTCGTGCGGCGCCCTTCCGCAGGCGGGGGATGGGGGTCAGTTTTCTTCGAGATCGGCATAACGACTCGGCAGCCGTGGCGGGGCGGAATCGTAAGAGGGTTGCAGGAGGGCGCACCGGTAGAATGGGATATATGGAGTCATAGGGCAATTCAGCAAAGTTTGGCGTCGGCCGCGCATACAAACGGCTGATATCGCGCGGCCACCCCCTCGACCGCTCGCTCCTCTCGCGCAGGCTTCTTCCTCCCGTCTTTTCTTCCTACCTATGCCAAGACAAGATGTAAATCAATGGGATGCGGGGAAACGAAGGATCCACGCTCCGTTCCGCGCTCCTTGTTCCTCTTGGTCTTATTTCCCTCCACTCTCGCTCGCTCGAAATTCACCCGAGTGCCTGTCCCCCTTCTTCTCGCCGCGGGTTCCAAGGTTCTCGTCTCCACCCGCCACTCCGCGTCAGTTTCTTCTTTTTACCTGGTTGGCTGCCGCGAAGCGCAAAGACACGGAAAGAAAGAGAGCGGAATTGGCCCGCTTCTCTCATCTCGATCTCTGCTTCTCTCATTCAGTTTCCTCCTCTGTCGTTCTCGCGCCCTCCACCTCCCCGCGGTTGCCGCGGTGCGTTGGTTTGTGAATGCTAAGTTTAAGCTATCTCGCGCCGCCCTCCCGGAGCCTCTGCGACGCCAATGAAGGTACCAACACATCCACTCTTTCCAAATCCCCCCGCAAGCTATCCCCCGAAACGCCGAAACGAGCATACCAATGAGACAGGAAACGCGAGAGAGAAAGGGGAAGAACGTACAACGCCGGTATCTCGTGGATTTTGCTGTCATTGTGAACGAATTCTCTCGGTTGCTGTACAAATCAAATCTTGATTGTCCATGAAATTTGAAACGCTTGCTTACAATCTATCTTCCCCGACACGCCGTTTTAACGCGTTTCTTATTTGGCGAAACGTTGTTGCTACTCATTTTACACTTCGCACCTTGCCTCCTTTTTTAAACTTAATTTACGACACGAGAGAGAGAGAGAGAGAGAGAGAGAGAGAGAGGGGGGGGAGAAATTATAAATTTTCTAAAAATTTCAAACTCGTTTCATGTAACAGAGTTCAGGATACTAGTTTAATTTGTATCAAAAGTGATAAGCTACGAATTTAATCGCCGAAATTGAATGAAACGATATGGAAAGGTATTCGCGGTCCCGGTTGAATATTAGAGGGACTATGATTGCGCAACATCGTTGCGACGATACTTGCTTGCGCCGGGATAAAAGCCCGGTTTTTCTGGTAAATTTCTCGAGTCTTTACCACGGCGAACGAAGTTATCGCGCGATCTCGCAGTGATCAAAGAGAATCGGGCCGAACGTGTCGGAGTACGGCTCTTCGACTTCGACGATAGTTCGGTGGCGAAAGAGGGGCTGCCGGGAGGGCTGGGAATAACACCCCTTACCATTCAGTGGCGCGGAGGATTTTATTTATTCCGGGTTGGTACGCTTGTTCCTTGGCCTCCTCTACTGAATCCCTCTTTTCAACCCTCCACCTCTCTTCCTCGCCTCTCTACCACCCTCGCGGCGGCCCGCACCGCGCCGCTCGACAATTCTCTACCAGGATGGTTGCCAACACGGCCGGCTCTCTTTAACGACTTTCTCGTACATTGAACGCAATAAATACCAATGTCCCATTGAGGAATCCCCATTTGCGTAGGGACCACACTTGCGACTCTTTAAACGCTTCCACGGTGAGCGTCACTTGTTGACTTCATTTTTTATTGCGACGAATAAAAGTGTGCACGGTGCAATCTTTCCAATTATACCATACGCTACAATTTTATTACGAGTTTTCATTACGGAATTTATACTCGAAGTATTTAATCGATTTTACACGTTATTAGTGCAACAGTTATTTTATTATTAATCTTTATTATCAACCGCAAAAGTGCGAACAACCGTTAACCGCGAAGAGATGTGTTCTTGCCCCGACAATAGCTAAAGAATATTCTTTAAATACGTCGAGATATAAACAACGCCGCGATCTTTCAAGCCGCCGAGATTTATCGATGTGACGGCACATAAGCACTCGAAGTGGAAAGTGTTTGAGCATCACTGAGAGCAATATACCATGATGTCAGCCACTCTGCCGTGGCTCCGCTTCGCCCAGGGTTGGTGCCGGGGGTGGCTTGGCTTCGCCGGGGTACAAAATGATATCATTGGGTTATAAATTCCAAGCAGAGACACCGGCGGCCCGATCGCCCCCTCCCCTTCCTTCTTGTTACAACCCTTCTCCGAGAGCCCCCCCCCAACCCTCCTCCCCGTACTCTCTCTTTCTCTCGCCGCCTCATTCTCTTTCCGCAGCTCTCCTTCGTAGTTTCTCTTTCATTTTCCGCCTCTTTCCCACTTTCACGAGTTTCCGCGACCTCGAAAACTTGCACGCCGGAAAATATATCTGCCACTCGGCCTCAACCGAATAAACAGAATATTCAGATAATTTTCCATATCCTATTTCTTCCCTCTCGTCAGTCGCGAGTTATTTTCAAGATACCGCTTGCTTCTGTCTAGTTCTCAACTTACGTATTACTTTTTATTTCGTTACTGTTATTCTTTCATTATGGGAGAACTCTAATCGCTAATGCTTCAAGACTCAAAGTGATTATTTCTCAAGCTGGCAGGAAACTTCAACGCACTTGACGCAAATATCAATCTAATTAAGTACTGGAAACAATGAAATAGAATGCAAGAAATATAGTAGTATTTCTGTGTTGTGACCCTAGGTTTGTATCCACCAATACCTCTCCAAACACCATGCATAAAGGCGATATCGCCTAATGAGGGTTGGACGTCGGGTGGATCCACCGTCATAATCATCGGTGAAAATTTCTTCGACGGATTGCAAGTAGTTTTCGGATCGATGCTAGTTTGGAGCGAGGTCAGTAACTCGCAAACTTAATACTGGGAATCTCTGACACCGATCCCGCTACGTAAGCATCAAAATGTATTCTTCCCTTTTATTACAGTTTATCACACCACACGCAATCAAGGTGCAGGCACCAGCGCGGCAAATACCCGGCGTCGTCGACGTCACGTTACATTATAAAAGCAAACAATTCTGTAAAGGAGCGCCCGGTAGATTTGTCTACGTTTGTAAGTACGAAGAATGTCTGGTACCTATCTCGAGAGGATCCACGCGAATGATAATTATCGCGGAAAGATTGTAACACTGACCCGATCATGCGGTAACAGCAAACGAACCTTTGCTGTATTTTCCAGCGGTAAACGAACCCACGATCGACTACGGCTTCCAAAGGTTACAGAAACTCGTTCCGCGGCACCCCGGTGACCCTGAAAAGCTTCCAAAGGAGATAGTATTGAAGAGGGCGGCGGATCTAGCGGAAGCCATTTATAGTATGCCTAAGAGCGGAAACATGGGGATCGCGGGGGCACCCAGAAGTCCGGGTTCAGTGCACGCACCGGCACCTCCTACATCCAGTTCGGCAACGGCCTTTAATTCGTATACAGGACAACTTGCGGTGACGGTGCAGGAAAATGGTACCGCGGCAAAATGGACAGACGGTACGTACGATACTCTCTAAGAGTCAATCGGTGGTTTATCACTGAAAACCGAGGGGGAAACCGCTGACCAAAATCTTGTACACCAATGCCCACTGGGCATTACTTTATCTTATTTTATCTTTCTAACGCCTAAAAATGCCTAGTAATGCCGCAAATCTGTACACCACAATGCCCTCAGCGGTTTACCCCTCACTGAAAACAGTGAATAGTCACTAATTTACTTTTAGACAGTACGTGTGCGTGTATGTGTCTCCATTGACAATACTCGCTCATACTGTCCTCATAGATACTAGATATTTATTATACAATTTAGAAAGTAAAATGTCTCGCGATCTCTTTTCCATAGAAGCTTGTACCAATCACCGACGCAGATGAACCATGAGTTAAATTTACTAGGCAACCACTCACGACCTAAAATACTGACGAGTTCGTCTGACGGGCAGGTTTCTATTTCTAGACGGTAGTTCCGTGACAACAGGAGCTGCTGCTGACGGAGGAGGCGGCGGCGGCGGTGGTGGCGGCGGCGGTGGCAGCGGTGGTAGTGTCGGAGCCAACGTCGGCAGCGCCGACGCTTATAGACAAAGCAGCAGCGCAAGTCCACGTGGTGTCGTAACCGGCGGTGGTTATTGCGGTAGTTCAGCCAGCACACCACACAGTCACAGTACTAACGGAAGTTATTCCGTCGCCAATCCGTACACCGGCAGCCCGACTCTCTACACCTCGCGTAAGTCTCCTACTATCTCTCTTACTCTACTCCCGCAGACGGTCCCGTGTTCGTGCAATGTCGCTGCAACTTTCGCAAAATCCAAGTTGTGCCGGGATAAAATGTACATTCTTTACATTTGACGACTCTTGCTATTTGTATGTTGTAAAATCAATTGAAACGCTAACAGGTCACGTTGCAGCGCGACAAAGAAAATATAAATGCTGAATAATGAAAATTAGTGCCAGATTCAACACTCGTAAGATCACTAGTCCTTTCGTAACATCTGTCTAGTCATAACAAAATATAATGTTACAATATATGTTTCGTGAGCGAAAAATGTTTTTTTCGAAACGTCGATCTCTTCGGCACAACTCTAAATGATGGATCCTAACACTCATATACATTCACGTATCCAACACGCATGCCCTTCTTCTATTTAATGTTACCTTTCGATGCACGCACTTATGATTTTCCCTTATGTGGAATTTTCGTTTTAGCGCACGAACAATATGGCATATTCTATACATCCGGGGACGGGAGTGCGTTCGCCCCCGTAGTACGACCACCGACCACCTCAGTCCCACCGCACTGGCCCACACAGCACCACCTCGCCACAGCCGCCCAGTAACCGCTAACCGTCCACCATCACCACCAACACCACCATCATCACCACCATCACCCTATGCACTGCGATTAAACAGTTATGAGAGGCGACATTTGAGAATGTACGTACACTTATTTACAACGCGACAGTAATCTTAATTTAATTGCCAAATATAATTGCGAATTTTCGAGTTTAAGTATCCGCTTCTTTTCCCGAAAAATAAATCGCCCCTTTCACGCCACAAAGTTTCTTTTATAAATAATTCAGTAAATTACAAATATTACGAGTTTTTTTTAATAAAAATTAACAGATGTTCTATAGGAGGGAAAGTTAACTTTCTTTGAATGAAATTGTAGCACTAACACGATGTGTGTACGTGCACATCATAGCAATCGAAAAAACAGCTAGAATCTCTTCTGTGTACATATTCTCTCAATTCATATCTGCGAAATTCTTATGTACGCTATCCACTATCCTACTGTATCAATCCGCACGGGTTATTAGAAAGCTTCACAAAATCCTCACCGCACACTTTTAGCTCGAGAATTAAAAATAAATCAAAATAAAAGTTTGAATTAAATACAATTATCGAAACAGATTATTTATTGAACAAACGGATTTGCATACTGTGAACGTAGGAAATAAGAAAATGAACGATTGTTTCTAATACTTTTTATATAATTAACAATTATTTCTCCCTTCACTTCTCTCTTACTTTATCATTGCCTCGTGAAAAATCCTCCCTTTTATTTAAACAATTTTATTATTATAAATATCAAGTTCTTATACCTTCTGCAGTTTATTATTTTTTACTTATTCATTGTGTCATAGCGTTTAAGCAATATCGCATTACTAATGTGTAACTGACAGTGGGCATGTTGCAGGACTAGGAGAGGTGGTCGGATCACCATTCAACATGAACCCATTTATGTTGCCGACCTGCAATCAAGGATATTCAGCCGCTGCCAGTCCGCTGCTTTCGTCAAACGGCAAATAGTGCTACGAGATGTAAACTCCGACGAGATTGACGTGGATCGTCGCCTTCGCGGAGATATTGTACGAACCGGCCGATTAGTATATGCGACCGCATCTGAATAATTGTGCAGATAATCGCATAAACAATGCCGCATTATTATCGCACCGGCGTACGTACATTGCCTTCGCGAATTCGACTTGCTTGTGGCTCTCTTTTCTTCTCTGCTACTTTTGCGGCAAAAAGAAAGAAGGGCTGCTTGCGGCAACATCATTGTCGTCGGAGTTAAAGTCTTTTTTTTTTATTGTTCTCCCTCTACGGGAACGCCGTGGACAGCTTTGTCATTTGGCGGAGTTAAAGTCGATAATTTCGTAAGGAATCAGGCAAATCAGTGCAAAAATCTATAAGACAACTATCTTGCTACGATCACCGATGATCGAATTAGTTAAGAAACGATACATATCGAACAACGAGAAGGTGTTTTTCTATAAATCTAACAGCTCGGTCAAAAGATGGCTCGGAATAATTATTAAAAAGTATATTTAAAAAAAGCAACTTTATCTTATTTTACAACAGTTCTAATAATTTATAGTTGGCATGAAATTCTTATATAAATAATAATTTTAATCAATTCGATATCTCCAATCGATATTTTATGGCAAATATGATCAATACAATTTATAACAGCCCCTGTTATACTATATTCCTTTATCCCATATGTAAGTGAATTCGTTAATTGATGATTTATTAATGTAAAAGTCATTTCGAAAATAATAATGACGGTAGATATTTTTCTTATTATTATTGATATAATAATGATATGCTTGCTGTATTTGACACTATTGACGAGCAATATTTAAACACAGAATACTTTAAATCTGTATTTTAGACAAAATTAAAATCTAATAAACCGAGAGCCAATCGCATGTACCGAACGAGAAAGCTAAGATGGTATCAAATATTTTATATCACTGAAACTACAGAGGCTGATAAAGACCGAAAGAAATTGACACCACTCGACGGACATATCGCTTATTAATGAATAACAGATACCATAGTTTTAGAGAGCATTTTCGACTTCGAAATTTTAACTTCCTACCCCTACAATTTATGACTAACCAATATCGCCTAGTTAGCGTACCGTGTAACGTAATTTGTAAAATATCTGTAAATATTGTTGCGATGTACAAAAAGAAAACTATTTCCAGGAATCCAACGAAACAACATTGACGTCACTCTAGAGTGAAAATTATTATACATAGGTGTAAATAAACGTAGGGTGTACGTAGCGCATCCGTATAATTGCGTCGGCGCCATCCAATTTTTTAACGCAATCTCGATCAGGAATGCACGAGTTTATGTCTCCATATCCAATTCAATTCAAAAATTGAATTTGTTGCAATCCGTTCCACTCTCCACTTTAAAACATAATCTAGATGAATGACCAGTATCTGGCAACAAAATCAAACCACAAACGTTAAAAAGTTGGATCGAACGCGACCTGTATAAAACGTATATAGTTGATTTGGATCGTTTGATAAGCCGGCCCGAAACAAATCTCATACAACTCACGAAAGTATACGAAGTATATACCGGATTGAAACTCCCAATTAGTCCAAAACTTTTTGCAGCGGTTTTACGAGCGTAGATCGTATCGTTTGTCAAAACAAAAGTACCGTTAAAAGTTATTATTATAAAGAGTTCCTTTTTGCATATCGAGAGACTTGGTATGTACTTTTCTTCTAGGAAGTGCATTCTTCGTCCCGGAGCCGAGCGCTCTGTGATCTTGTGATGTTGATTATATATATATAAATATATATATGTATATTGATTGTACCTTGGTTCAATCACGTCACGTCATCTTTTACGAGACGCGTTGTTCTTGTACGCACGCGAAGACACGATACGCACACTCGCGCGTATAAACACACTCGTCGGTGTATATTGAAATAAATTAAACTTACTTTTTGAGAATTAAAAATCTTGATGATAGAAAAGTTTATATGTTCTATTCTTTGCCCATATCATCTTTAACTACTGTAGCAGCTGTATGCAACCAATGTAAGTATTTTAATCCCGTTTGAATTTCGTACTGCGTTAACTTCATTCTTTAAAACGAGAGAATTTATATAAGTAATTTTTATCTGTAGATTATAAAATTTTTTTATCTTATAAAAAAGTAGATATTTAAATAGTGAAACTATCTCATATGCAATAGTTAAATCAGCAGAATAACAGATAATAATACATTGCAAAGTTATTAATGGAGTTATTGAAACTTTCTGTGTAACGATTACTATATGTAAAAACAATAATTATACTATTACGTCTTCTCGATATGTATGAAAGATGTCAGAGGAATTATTCAGTGTCGTAAGATCGAATCTGTGAATGAGAGAACAGAAATTATTTTGCATAATATGTCGCTCGAACTCAGCTGGGAACCTATTTGTCCCAAGAGAAAGAGAAAGAACAGGCCGGGATCAACAAATAGCGAAACAGGATCTGAAGGACCACTCCGGAGCGATTAGTTCACATGGTGTCCCATTACATTCTGCCGCCAAACGCTGGCGTGTATGATGCATGTATTGTGAGGCTGTTTGTGTTATTAGATTTAGATTGGCTGGCACGTGGCAGGGGTGGCGCGTGCCGCATTGCAAACGTTACAACGTGGGTACAATACAAAATCGTTTTTCTTCAAATACTGGTTTCTTTGGCTTCCCATAGAGGGGTATCGATTTTCACTTGCGCCCGGCTGACATGCTGTTACAATAACGCGCTAATTTCTGTGGTATATAATTTATTAAAAGGATACATACACAAGCTATAGGTATACGTTCCACAGTAGACATAATAACTGTATATAATCTGTGTAGCTTCCATTTAGTTTCTCGATTATTTAAAATTGAAAAAATAAAAAATTCAATTCTTTCGAAAAAATTTCAAGATATTTCATATCTTTAGAGAGAAATATATAAGAAATTAAACAAACAAGTTTTCCTATGTCAAACTATCAAATTTATGATAAGAACGACTAAATAAAAATTACAATTATTTTTCAATCTATTAAGATAAAATATGTTATTTAGACACCATTAATATTAGTCGACTTGACGTTACAATGGTAGTAATTGCATCATCAATATATAACAATATTCGAGGCTTTTTTGGTTAATCGGTAATCTTGGTTTCTCAGTCGTTTCAATCTTTATCTTGCACAAAGAGATACAACTGTATTTTCAACTCGTTGCGGTCAGCTTAATTTTTCGACCCACATACACAAGCACAATCTAATTTGAACTTAAAAGACTCCTTATAAAAAATCCTTTTGATAAAAAGAACAAAGTGTACCATTTTTGAAGAAGTCTATAATATTCATTTTAAGAGAGAATTATATCTTTTTTTTAATTTCTCAAGGAGACACAATGTTAGCGAATATTTATTAACTTGAATTTTACAAGTCTTATAAATAGTACTACAATCTGTATAAAATAAAAACTGTATATATAATAAATTATAAATCTTCTGAAGTGTAACAAGTTTGGATCTTTTTTTTTTTTAGTTGTCCGACTATCTATAGTTATCGCGCCATGCGATGTCTTTACCATTATTATGTTATCGAGGCTGAGCTTGGGTTGCGTGTCAAAGGGGATGAACATTCGGGCAAGCTGGGATAAGAGCAATCCGGTGATCCACCCCTGACAGTTCATCACGATAAGATCTGCTCGTGCAACGAGTCGGCTCCATTCGAATTCTGTTTGCTTTCTGGATCCTACGACATCGCAAGCCCATTGTACTCCCAGTGATGCGAAAGAATATTACCATCTGCTTATTACCGGTAATCTTCCTTCAATGGTATCGAATTTCCATGAGCTTGTCGAAATAGCGAATCTCGTCAACAAACGTTTCCAACGATTCGAAATGCATTTTGCACTTTTTCAGATACAACTTGTAAGAACGATTTAGTAAAAAGTTTAATTTGTAAATTCAGTTTTGTAAAAATACATGGAAAGAGCTATTAAAAAATATATTTAAACAATTCAAGAGGAAACCCCTTTGAGTTCTGCCATCTTATATGTATGTATTATATGTAAGTATAGAAGAAAGTCCTCTATTATTTGATAGGAGCTTAATATGAGATAGTAGATTTTCAACGTCCAATAGTAGTTTCGTAGAACCTTACAAAATTCTTAGAGTTTTTAAATATAATTTTTAGAACGATTTTTTTGCAAATTATATTTTCGTAATACAATTCCATCGATTATATCATCAATTTTCAAGAATTTAGATTTTCGCGTTAAATCTCCAAGAATAAAATTTCAGGAATTAGAAATTTTTACAATTTTCCTTTAATTTATAAGACAAATAAAATATTCAGGCTATAATATGTAACAAAATATTACATCTAATCCTTTGACACATAAATCATAATTTAATTTATTTCGTCATTATTAAATATGCATACATATTGGCTATATGTTTATATAAATGTAGTTTTTACACTAATAAACAAAAAAGGCGTGAGTGTTTTTACTGTACAACCACCCATTATTGAAAAGGAAACATTAACAGATCATAAATAATTTATCACAGCGCTCAATAGATGTTGAACATCACAGTAAAACCAACTCGGAGGTAGACTCCGACACAGAGCTAGGTTGGCCGAGCGGTCTAAGGCGCCAGACTTAAGTTCTGGTTCCCATCTGGGAGCGTGGGTTCGAACCCCACACCTGGCAAACTTTTTTTTTTCTATAGCGTATGTATAAATTGATCGATATATCAAACCTGTCTGCAACATTACATTCTCAATAGTATTTTTTTAAGTAAATAAATCAATAGAAAATATTTTGTATTTGATAATGAGAGTTTTAAGCTTAATATTTTCCAAAAATGTTCCTTTATATTTAAAATCTTATCATGTTTTTTATTACTTGATATATACCGTTTTAATAAATATTTCAATCATATAAGACAGAAATAATATAATGACAAGATATACATGAGAGAGGAATAAATTGCGTTTTTAAGAGTATAATATTTTTTTAGTGTTCTAGTAACACATTTTATTTTAATTAAAATTTATGAAGTATTATATAAAATTATTAAACAATTATTGTAATCACCTGCAAAAAGAAATTATAAACTATCAGCTCTGGATAAATTCTGTGATTATCGGTAGAAGCCTTTAGTCGAGTTCGTGGCGGTTGTATTTGAATAACACCAACATTATCGACTGTCGGAAATTTTCCACTGCCGAACGCGCAATATGCATTTAACTTTATAATTTAAAAATAATTTGATATGCAAATCATACTGCATCATTGCGTAACAGAATAATGTCATTTATAAATATTATAAATAAAAGAATTCTTAAATATCGCATTTTTCTCTTTTTACTATAATTTGCCAATCAACTAAAAATTTCAAGTTTGGAATAATTGTATGTCATTAAATTGAATTAATGAAATTCAGAGTATAGGAAATCATTTCAGGGTGCGAGACAGAACTAAAGACAGTGTCCGGACACGTGGAGGCTTTATCGGCAGTGCTTGAAAATGGGTGTAGCAGAATAGTTCTAAAAATGAAAATGCGTGTAAGGCGCTGGAATCAGCCAAGCTCTCAGAGGTTTCTCTCCGATAGGTTTCACATAATGCAAACGTTTATCCATTCTCAAATATCTCTCTGATGTTAATAAAAGGAACAACAAAACTAATTTAATGTTTGAAAGTATAACAGGAAGTAAGTACATGCCATCGATCTCTTTGTGTTACAATTATATTCAATTTTACAAACAAGTCGGCAATATAAACATCTGCTTCCATTTTATCTTATTATTGGTAGATATTTCAGATATTCCCTGCAGATAAATTCACAAATTTTCAACCCTTATAGACAGTTAAGCATGGTAGTACTAGATGTCAGTTGCCTATGTTTTTAATTGCAAAAAAGTTTGTAACATCAATATCATAATAAAATTAAGAAAATTTAACTTTATAAACTATAAAAAAATCTGCTTTAATCAGAAAACATAAACTTAGTAAGTATGTGATAAATACATATATGTATGTAATAAATACACAGGGCGAGAACGCATGAATTGCCTCAGCTCTCGAGGTGAGGCAGCTCATGCGTGTATGCGAATGTATTTCATGCGTATGAAAATGAAAAGTTTTAAGAGGTCCCCAGGAGCTCTCTGGGAGTTCCCCGTGCTGTGTGAGAACGTTCTCAGAACGTACTTCGTCATTCGCAGTACGTAATGCGATTATTCTGAAAATATCGCAATATACTTTTGCGATAATCTCAGATCGTTCTCAGTTTCTCCCTGTGCTGTAAGGGTAATATGTATTATCATATCCAGTCACATTTGTGTATAAGATCGAATATTTCAGACAAATCCTAAAAATGTCATATAAAAATGTCCTTAGGACGTCGTCTCTGTATTTATACTGGATTAAAAACACTAATCTTATTGGAGAAATTTGTGCGATTTCGGCGTTCACGGTGTAATTCGCTCTGTCGTTCTTCGCAATTCGAACGGGCAGGAAATAAAGAACGTCGCTTACTGCATTTCACAGTATTTTACATCGCGTACGGGAGTGTCCGAAATTTCGCGCGATCAATTTTCGCGAGTGAGTGTTGTGCAAGTGCCACAAGGAAATTTGAGAGGAGGAGGAGGCCAAGGAGGCATCGGGCAACGGCAGAGAAATCGTAAGGTAAGTGTCTTACATATTTTTGTTATTTGCTACTTGTGCAAAATGAATCATCTATTCTGTGCTTTTATTTTATTTATTCAAATGATTCCAACGAGCATTCGAATAAGTGTTAGAGACAAAACCATACGTACAAAATTTTGTGAGTTCATATTTAAAAGGAAGACTTTCAGTATTCTATATAATTGTTTTAATAAATACCCATTTTTTTAAATATAAAATATAAAGTATATTTAATACAATAGTTTCGATTTTGCATAATTAGTCTATAATAATCGTATACATTTTTG